AGAGGCATTGTGTTCGATCATGCTCTACAGAGAATCGATTTTAGTCTGGCTGGGGAGTTGCTGACGACGATGATGACGAGTGGTGATACGTTGACTTCATTGTTTCCTCATTATTACTGTGTTTCGTTATCTAGTTGGAACGCCGCTGCACATACTGCGAATCGTTATCACCTTGAACCTCGTAAAGTAGCCAATGAGCCTTTCAAACCCCTCCAACCATTTAGACAACTCTGAACAATTACTCTTTGATCATGCGATGCCATATTGTCGAGGGGGAAAACATGAAAACTCTGCAATGCTATAAAACTGTCAAAACGTTAGTTGGGCAGCATTACACCTTTTCCAAACGAGTGAAAGACGACGGTGGCAAAAAGAAGTTCACAGGCTAAAAAACGCTGCATAGAGCGCAAGTTTTTTAGCGCGCGCCCGAATTGTATCTTGCGTAAAGAAAGCTAGAATCTTGGAAACTTACGTTATTTCTCCGCGCCACGCATAGGGTTTCCGTACAAACTGTCCATCAATTCGTGCTTTGTTGGCTCGGTAATGGAAGTAATACCCTACCGTTCAAGGGTCCTATGATCTGTCCTTGACCCTTGGAGACCCTGTATGCCATCAGCCGTTCGCAACAGCCTCCCATGAACGCTCCAAACGCCCCCATTCTAGCCCACTCCCACGGTTTACAGCTGTTCTACCAGCTATGGGTTTACCTGCCGTTCTCTATACTGTGGTGTCGTTAGCCTCTGTCCTTCGAGGGTACGGTAGGCCATGACATTTTCTTTATTTCGAGCACTGCATAAGTCGTCGTTGCTCAGCTTTCTGATAGAGGTTACTACTCGAAGTTGCCTCCTTGACATGTGTTGGTCTCCTTGCAGTTGTGTATTTATCTCTCCCGTGAGTGGCCAAACGTCCTTCTATCCCCTTCAATCTCTTGGCTAACATTGACACCACTATGTCCCATACTATTGAGGTCCGTCTCGGGGGCTTCATCATCTCATATTTGTCCATCGTTGCGGCTCGGTTGAGTTCATCTCTTTCGACATTTACCTTGCCATGTCTTTGCCTTTATCGTTCAACATCATGTACCGCCGGTTTTTCATCATTGCTCGCTTTCCTGAACTGTGATCGTCTCTCTAATTTGAGCTAGGCTGCTTGTGAGGACTTTTGTAATCGATTTGACTTTCTCAGATTCCCAGTTCAATTCGTGAGATATTCGCCAGCACTGAGCGTTCTGACAGCAGTAGTGACTCCCCCATGGAAGCCACTGCAGATCAGTTTGGCGCCCCAGGTCTACAGTCACCTCTGTCGTCAATGGTAAGATATGTTTTGTTCTTGGATTTCATCCTGGTTCACGCGTGCATGTCTCCAGAATCAGGTTTTTCGAGTGCGTAGTGCATTTCATTCACATTCTGTTTAGGCGACAGATCTGTCCGGTCTGCAAGCGTCGATTTGGACCCCTAAAGCTAGTGATCGCCCAGTTCGAACTCCGGGAGCTGGAGGCTCCCTCACGAGGGCTAGTGATGGTGGACAACGTGATAGTGACAGCACAGCGTAGTGAGCAGCGGTTGTTCTCTCGCAACAACCAAAGCAGTGCCTTTGGTTGTTTTCTTCGCTCGGTTTTGTTTTTGCGTGGCTTGACGGTTCCTGCGTCCTAGCTTGACGTAGTGCGAAATAATGTCGAGGTGTAACATTGTCTTTTCAGTCCTCCTGGTATCGTGGCTGGACTATCTAGAGGATCTAGTTTTCCAGTTGGTGGTTCTCAAGATGGTCCGATGTTCCCATCGTCGTCGGGTTCTGCTATGACTGCTCCATCCAACTCTGGTGTTTATAGCACTACTAACACCCCTTCGGGCGACTGGCATGCTATGGATAGGCAAGCTCGCCACTATCTTCGTCGTGGAGAATGGGCTTTATATCGTAGGTCTCTGCAAGGATCTGTCGTGCCCTCGCACACCCCATCAGCGAGTGTCGTTGATCCTGGATGTTGGACGCCTGGTACGCCTCCCACCAGCTGGACTGCCTCTGGTTGTGGACACCCTATGGTAAGCTATCAGAACAGGAGTGATATCATCCTCGCCATTCGGAGTCTTGTAGGCGGCCACGGCTCCACCACCGGACGTACGGTCCCCGTTTTCGGGTTTCGATGCAGTGTCGTCGTCCACTTCGCCTTATCGCGCATTCGAGGGTTCCCAGCTCCACCAGCAAGACCATCCCCGTTCGCAAGATGATGGATATTACTACTTGCGTGGAGTTCTCTCGTCACCAATGTCACCGGCGGCGGCGGATGCATCCAATTTGCATGATGGCGGACTCACTAGTTATGACAGGTCGGTTTGAATCTGTCGCGAGTCCCCTTTTACCATTGTATGGCCGGTCAGCTCCTGTATGTTTCGTCACATTGCAAGTAGTCCGGTGATGTCGTCGATGTCCTCACCTCTGGCGGCGAACAATACCACCTGCCAGTCCGCCGGAGGGGGGTACTCGACGCCTCAGCTCAGCAGGATGGCATTGTCTGCATCGAGCCGTGTGATGATGCAGAATGATGCAGCGTCGGGAACGCCTCGAGGTGCGGCAGTGAGCTGAGCTCATCTGATCGAGTGCTCATTTGTCGTGTTAGATATTTTTCCCAGTGGGTCTCATACTCATCCGTCGTATCGTTCGAGGCCTCCGGCGAGCAGTAGTGGCAGGATGTACAACCAGATGTTCCCGGATGGAGTTTCAACCCCGCAAGCAGGTCATCGTAGCAGGTGAGATAGTACTCAAGTAAGTCATTGTGAACTCCTGTGCTGTCAGTGGATCGAACTTGTGGCCTTCAATACCTCTTCGGCATGGCTCGTCCAACACAGGGTATGCTGGTAGCGACGCAGCATCTCAGAGAACATCGACAACGCCGTGCAGTGGGACGTTTGGTGCTGATGTTGGCGCTGGGAAACTGAAAGGCCGTGGCGGCCACAATCATAACTCACCTAGTGTCACGTTGGAGGAGGTAGGCTTCTGTGAAGTGTTATTTTTTAATGTTATTTCTGTCAGATACAGGACAAGATTCTCGAGATGGCTATGGACCGTAGTGGCAGTCGTGTCCTACAGAAGTTGATCTCGGATACTTCGGCGAGTGCTGCGGATGGAGGGGCCCATGACGAGTTGGAGAAGCTCATTGATGCTATCATCCATGAGATACAGCCGGTGAGAATACTCCTACTCTCATCCATCTTCGGATTTTCGAGCCGTAATCTGCTAGTCGCATTATCAACTCAGTATTGTTCAATATCGTGTGCTTAACGGTTCGTTACCGTTGTTTTCGCATCTGGGTAGTTGTGGTTGTGGTAGCCAAGCATCGAATTTCATATATCGTCCATGGAGTTCCCAGGCCTACTCGGTTCTACCTTATTTTTGCCTTTTTCAGGTATTATCTCGTATAATGTGCGACACGTATGCTAACTACATGTGCCAGCAACTTTTCCAAGTCTCTTCAGCGAGTCAGAGGATCGCTCTGCTCCGCAATGTAAGAGAATACTGCCGAAATCATCTTCGGTGTTGAAAATTTTTTGCAGGTCCTGGAGAATATAGTCTACATATCACAAGACCGTCGTGGAACGCATTCTCTCCAGGTTGGTCGTCATTTATCTCGTCGACCGTTCCGCTGGATTAATGCTGTTACAGGCATTGATAGCTTGTATGCAAACACCGCAGGAGCACGCTCTGCTAGCGGAGACGCTACATGGCAACGTTAACAAGATGGCACTCGATGTTCATGCAACTCACGTAAGCACACTTCGTGTTTGTGATGGCTGATGGACCTCGAAACTCAGGTTTTACAACAAACCATCACCAAATGCACGCCTGATGGTCCAGGCAAGGAGTATAGCCACTTGCCTATGGCTGATTTTGGTTTCATTTTCGACGACATTTACAGAAATCTTGAGGCTCTCGCTGGTGAGGGCGATTTCCGTCTCAGTCCGTGTTGTAATACCTGCCTTTAGGTGATCCGAACGGTCTGGGTGTCGTGAAGAAGTGTATTTCTCATGCGCCGTGGTACGATGATGGCTCATACGTAGAAAAGTACAAGTCGAAGATGCTGAACAAGCT